TCTGGAACACAGCAGCATTTAAACTGGAATTCACAGTACACTGTCAGTGCTCACAATCCAGTGTCCATTGAATCTGGAAATAAAGCAGGGTGAGGCTCCAATTTGATTAGACAGCGCTCTCTTATTACAATTGTGCATACACATGAGAAACATAGCAAAAACACGTATTACAAAAGTATACATCATGCTGCCATACATCTATATAAAATGAGAGGAAAGCCAAGCAGGAACTCATTAGCACAACAGGCTACACCCACCAGCAGAAACTCATTAGCATATTAGGCCACACCCCATGCCTTTCCTTGGCTTGCCCAGGCGCCCTGCGGCTGTGGGGAGCCCAGGCAAGCCGGCCCTTGGACAGGCTGGGGAAGGCACGGGGAGGTATTTAAATGCCTCCCCAATCCTTCCAGGGGGCCCCTGGCCTGCCCGCCTTGGAGTCGCTGGGGGGGGAATCACTCTCCAGGCCTTCCCTCTGTAGCCACGCATGCAGAGGTTTTGGCTGTAGTGGGTGTGGCCAGCTCTGAAGCCAGCCGGAACTCCATTCCTGTGCGTTCCTGCCCAAAAATAGCCCTGGCTGTATGAAAAAATAGGCTGAATTGTACACAGTGTGCCAGTAATCAGTCCTTCAACTTCTTTCGAACAAGTTTTATGTGCTCTTGTAATTTATTTAAAGGGGTAAGTGGAAAACATATACCATAGATGTATCATTTCAAACCTGATATTTAGCAACAGTTCCATCAACTTCCATAGCAACAATATAGAATGATCTTGTATCTCTTATTTTTCCATTAACGATAATCACTATGCAAATTCATAATTTAGTTGACATGAAGCATGAACACTCCTGTGGACTTCAGTGGGACTATGTGACTTGACCCTTATAATGCTAATTGATTTCTGGAGGGCATTTTCAGATGAGGAAGCAGGAAGGAAGGGGATGCTTAACCTTTTCCTGGTTCACTGATTCTTTCCTGAAGTGGTTATGATCCCCCAGGTCATTTTTAAAGGGTTTCCCCCCAAGAGGACTTCAGCCCCACTAGGGGGAAATAGGAGGATTTTCTGAGGAGAATCAATAGTCTTCGGACAGTGCTGGCTCTTCACCTTGGAAGCGGAGATAAGCACTGGCCCCTAGAGTCAGATTCAACTGGCTTTCGAGCAACGGAAACCTTTACTAGTGTGGTTTGCATATGGCCAGCTTTGAAGGTCATCTAGAAATTCAACCAGTTGAAAATGTGGAGCAAAGTATCTAACTGGGACCTGCTATGGAAATCATGCTACCTGGGAGACTGCCTGTACCTGTATGAACCTGCTTTTGGCCTAGGGTTGCCAGCCTCCAGGTGGGACCTGGAGATCTCCTGGAGTTACAACTGATCTCCAGACAACAGAAATCAGTTACTCTGCAGAAAATTGCTGTTTTGGGGAGTGGACTCTATAGCATTATGCCCTTCTGAAGCCCCTCCCCTCCCCAAGCCCCATCCTCCCCAGGCACTACACCCAAATCTCCAGGAATTTCCCAACCCAGAGTTGGCAGCCCTGATTTGGCCTGTGACTGTATGCTACTATTCATTGTATGTATCTACGACTGACATTAGATTGATGGTTAAAAGTCACAGATTTTTCAATTCTAGAATAGGAGCAGGCCAATAATTTGAATGTCTAATCGTAGCAGCCAGTCCATAATTCTATGTGGCAACAAGCCTATTTTAAATTAGCTGGCATTTGCTCTCTATTTTGTATTGTTGGCCAATAGCTCTCTGTGAGGTGAGTGCATTTCAGCATGTCATATCTATCTGGCTGGATTATGGACTGGCTGCTACGATTAGACATTCAAATTATTGGCCTGCTCCTTCCAACTCCATAAGAACTTTATAAAAATTCCTTTTACTCCTTAGAGAGCTACTGGCCAACAATGTGACATGGAGAGCGAATACCAGCCAATTTAAAGTAGGCTTGTTGCCACATAAAATTATGGACTGGCTGCTACGAATAGACATTTAAATTATTGGCTTGCTCCTATACTAGAAATGCAATGGAACTGATAATCCATAGAAGATAACATCCTCGAACTTCATAAGAACTTTGTAAGATTACTCTTGAGAAAGATAGCTGAAATGAGTGTAAATACCGGTGTACTCATTGAGTAATAGAGGAATATACTGGACTCTGCTGATAATGAATAAGTTGGACTCTGTTTACATGTAAAATTGAGATAATGAATAAGTTGGACTTGGTTTTCTTGCTACATGTATTAAATGTGTCATTGTTATTGATCAATATGCGGATGACACCCAGCTCTATCTGTTGTTGGGCGGTCAGTCTGGCTCTACCCTGGAAGATCTGGACCGAGCGTTGCGGGACATAGCGGGCTGGCTTAGGCTGAGTTGACTGAAACTGAATCCGATGAAGACAGAGGTCCTATGCCTGAATCGGAGTGGTACGGGGGTAGGGGTCCCACTTCCGGCCTTTGGTGGGGCACCATTGGTGCCAGCTCCGAGGGTCGGGAGTTTGGGAGTGCTCCTGGATACTTCCTTGACAATGGAGGCCCAGGTAGCAGCCACTGCCAAGGCAGCCTTTTACCATCTGCGGCTGATAAGGCAGTTGGTCCCCTTCCTCGAACGCAACGATCTGGCATCAGTGATCCATGCTATGGTCACCTCGAGGTTAATTACTGCAATGCTCTCTACATGGGGCTGCCCCTGGGGCAATTCTGGAAGAGGCAGCTGGTGCAAAATGCCGTGGCCAGGTTGCTGATGGGTCTCCCTGTGAGGGAGCACATCCAACCTGTCCTGAGGTCGCTGCACTGGCTGCCAATAGCATTCCCGATACACTTCAAGGTGCTGGTTATGACCTTTAAAGCCCTAAATGGTCTGGGTCCTGTCTACCTGAGGGACCACTCCCCATACGTTCCCCCAAGGGCACTGAGATCCGACTCACAAAATCGCTTGGTCCACCCTGGCCCTAGGGACGCTAAGTTAACATCGACAAGAACTAGGGCATTTTCCCTAGCTGCACCAGTACTATGGAATCAGCTCCCAAATGAAATCCGAGCTCTATGGGATCTTTACCAATTCTGTAGAGCGGTAAAGACCGAGCTGTTCCGGCAAGCGTTTCAATAGCTCAGACCACACTGATGGTTCTAGCACTTTATAATAGAAGGCCGCCACGTCTTAATCTCAATTTTAGTAAGTGTATTTGGATATTTTATTGACTGTATTGTTTTAGACTTATATTGTATTAATTGTTATGTTGGTTTTAAACTATTGTAAGCCGCCCTGAGCCGCCTTGGTGGGAGGGCGGGGTAAAAGTCTAATTAATAAATAAATAAATACTTACACTCTAAATTGTATATCATGCAAAACCAAGATATGGGTTTTGGATCAAAACATTCATCATAGCATTACAGTATTCACAAATATCAGAGATGTTATGTATGAAATGGAAATCAGCGTCTAAAACATATATAAAGTACACCTGTGTATTCCATATTATTTAATCTGAAATAACTACCACTCCCAGTTTCTTTACTCATATTGTTGGATCCTACAATTTGCAAATACTAGGGTGCTTATGGAATCAAACCTTGCCTGTCTTCCCATTCCTCCATTAAAGGTTGGTGCTGGGGGATGGAGGGATTTTGTTGTGGCTGCAGCAAGAAGGGAAAACTGGGGAAAAATTGCTTCCAGTTCTCTGATCCTGAGATGAGTTTCTGCGATTGCAGATGAGCAATCATGGGGGTGATGTCACCTGATCCACACTCTATACTGCAGGCCCCCATATCTGTAGAATTTTTCCCTTGAGGCTCCCCAGTCCTCCAGCATCAGCTTCTGGGGAAAATCAAGGTCAGTGAACATCTTCCACTCATGGTTCATAGGATTCAATTCAAGGTCATGAATGTAGATTAGCTTCCCCATTAAACATAAGATGAAGCAGGAGAAATTCTACCATTTTAGCACTTTGATTCTGATTGTAATGAAATAGTAAAAAAAATACAGACCAATTTCCCACTAGCCGCTGCTCCATCCTCCCTTTCCCCCAATTCTACGTGTCAATTTCCCACCACTTGCTGCGCAGCCACTTTTTGCCCACAGCTTCACCTGATTTTCCACGCATATTCTCGATCCTGTTTTTTGAGGATCGAGCAGATGCGAGGGAAATCGGGTGAAGCTGCGGGGCAAAAGGCAGCCGCGCAACAAGTGGTGGGATATTGACATGTAGAATCGGGGGGAAAGGAAGAGTGAGGACAGAACAGCAGCTAGTGGGAAATCAGTCCCAGTGTTATTTGTCTATTTTATGGGATGCAGATATTATTTCAAAGGGCACTAGTCTTTGAAATCCTTAAATATAGAAGCAGCTCTTGTGTGAGCCATTTTTGTCACATTTTAGTGAATGGGACCAAGGCTGCAATCCTATCTACCATGCTCAAGTACACATCCAGTACACTTACAGAACACTGCAGAGTTACTCCATTGTAATCTGATTTCAGTACGATCAGCCAGAATAGCTCTGCATAGAATTGCACTTTCAATGGGACTGACTTCTGAATTCAGGACATCAGATTGTACATCAGTTTAAATGGAAGTATACTTCTTTGAAACTTTTTCATGCAACACTTTCACACGACAACAGTGATACTGTTGTAATATCACATTATGTGAAGTCATATTTAGCCTAGGGCAGCACTCTGTAGTGGGTAACAATTCTTCTGTAGAAAACTGTATTAACCCCAAATATGAGCTCTGATCCGTTTAGCAAACTAGCTAAAACAAAAAAGTGACTCAACAGTAGAACATGTTCTTGCAGTCACCCAATCACCGTTGGTAGAGTTGAGCACATTGCATGGCTTGTGTCTTCTACATGCCACAAATTCACATCTTCAAGTGATTTCTTTCAGAACTCAGAAGTATTTTACAGTCACTGTGGCTACAGCTTCACAATTGTCCTTTGAAATAATTTAGCCCATCAGGTTGTTCACTCCGCTGTTACGCCTAAGTTTGCACTCATCAGTTGGCTTGATGATCATTTTGGAGATGCATTGCAGTAGGTTCGAAAAACTGAAAGAAAAGATTCAAAAGAAAATTCAGTCAAATACTCTCTGCAGGACAGTCAATCAAGCAACACGGCTACTATTGATTTTCATTTGTCTCACAAGACCTAAATCAGCAACATATTGTATGGAAGAATCATAGCTGACTTGACTCAATAAGACCCAATACTAAGTGTGCATGACAATCACTTTCTAGCAATTTCATTTATACCCATTTTTCTCTCCAGTAACTGAAATGCAGTCTGATAAGGGATTACTATCTCTTGTGTCATCCCACTTTGAATCATACTTTTTTGCTCTACCCAATCTGCAGTTGTAAGAAAAGTCTATATTTTTCTATCTGATCGATTTGCAACTGCTCTGTCTGATGTTCAGTCAAAATATATGCAAAACTGAGCCAGTTTTGTGTTCACGCAAAAAGAACACACATGCCACTGTGTCACAGGTGACTTGGGACCAAGTAAGCATTGACTCACATCCACTGTTTGTACAAAGGGCACATTCTGATGTGGATGAACTTGCCTCTAGGGTTTTTATTCTTTAATAATTATTTCATCACAGTGTTCAAATTAATTGCCTCAGCCATGATGGTCAGAACTGGAAACTTGCAATTCATCAATTGCCAGAATGGATGGGAAGTTCTTGGACTCACTGGCAACTATTTGACCACAGAGAAACCAATAGCATCATTTCTGAAATGTTGCTGGTTACTTCATGTCAGTATGTCAAACTCAGCTTCTTTGCACTTTTGCTTGCTTGGATTTTCTGCCCCTCAAGGACCTGGATCTTTGTCTACTAGGCTTCCTTTGCTGCCTTTTTGCTATCCTATAACCATACAACACTGAACGGGAGGAACAGTTTTTCCTCATATCCCCTCTTTCCCTTTTCCCTTGGACTTGGCATTTTATAAGTTCCTGCTTCCACCACCAATCATTTCTTCAGTCTCTGTACTCTTCCACTCATCCTACCTAAAGGGAGCAATTCAGTCCCATGTTATTCTTTGGAGCTTACTCCCAAGAAAGTGTCTTTAGGACTGCAGCCTAAGCTCTTCTCAGCCCTTTCCTTTCAGTTCCCCAGATTTCACCAGTGCCTCCGGGGAATTTCAATTACCCTTTTTAAGCCTTTATTGTACTATCTTGGAGTAAACAGGGGCGGCCATTTCACACAGCCTTTCCCCTACTGGTAAGGAGCTGTCTCTGAAGCGGTTTGGCATTTCAGACTGCACCGCTTTGTTTTCCCGCCCTTTTTCACCTGCATGGGTGATCTTCATCTTTTTGTTCTTTTAAGAGCGCTATAGTGCTATAACACAACACCAAAACAGCACAATAGCAACCCCATTGGAATACCTGGACTCCATTGAGATGCATGAGATCGGGAGATTTAAAAATAGGAAGTGCAAGCTCTGGAATGCACAGTTTGAGAGCATATTTTTTAAAACTAGCTCCTTCCCAGCTTGAAAACAGCATTCTACTTTTGATAGCCAGCATTTCAGAATGCCATGCCTCCAGGGGGGGACCTGGGGATCCCCTGTACGTTCAGCCAGTGTTCCCTCTAAACTGAGTTAGTGATAGCTGGCTCAGTTTTTTAGCCTCTGGCTCACATTTTTGTCTTAGCTCAGGAAGAATGGCTCCAGAGCAAACTAATATATGCAGTAGCCATATAACTTGCTCACAAAGTGGAATTTTTGCTCACAGGACTCCACAGCTTAGAGGGAGCATTGCAGAGTTACAGTTTGGGGAATTTCAGACAGCCGATATATTCTGTTTCAGGAACTGTTCACTAACGGTTTCTGTACTGACATTTCAGACAGAACCGTTTTAGTAATGGCTCCCTAATGGAATAACTGACCCTTTCAGACACGAACGCTCCTGTCCTGTTAGGGAAGCATTCCTGAGCCATTTTACTTGCAAACTGCTTCCAATTGGTCTTTAATTTTGTATACAGCTCCCGGAGCACTACGGGGTGCTGTGTAACATGCCCCCCTAGTTTTTTCCACCCTTTTTCGCCCACGCAGGTGATCTCCATCCTTTTCTTAACATTCTTTTAAGAGCGCTATAGCGCTATAACACAACACTAAAACAGCACAATAGCGACCCCATTGGAATGCCTGGACCACTGAGATACATGAGATCACTACATCTGGGAACAGGGATTTTAATGGAGTACAATGCCATGGAGTCCTCCTTCCACAGCATTTGCTATATGCCTGGGAACTAATATCTATAGGCAGGAGATAAGTTGCCAATTCACACAGTAAAATCCAGTTGGAAAGTGCATTGAAAGTGGATTATTTAGTGTGCATGATTGCACTCTAAAAATATGTGACTAGCCAACCAGTGACTTCCATGGCAGAGAGACCTCAACCTGGGTCTCCTAGATCCTGGTTCAACACTCTATCCAGTATACCATGCTGGCTCTCAGGAACACAAAGGAGAAATCTTTCTCCATCAGTCTCTATCTCAGGCATGTTACTGCCTGTGCTAGTTTGCAAAGATGTGAATTCCACTGTGATTATGAGAAGAGTGTGAATGCCCTAGTTAAACTATGAAATGCAAGGCATTAATCCGATTGCATGTGTGTCTCTGTGTGCGCGTGCTAGAGAAGCCATTTACAAATTGATCTTACATAGAAGAGGATGTTGGATTCCTCTAGCAACAATTATTTTAATACTTTGATTTTGCAAATTATAACAACACCATCCATGCTATTACAATTAAAACAACTGTCATCATTGTAAACCCACATTTATCCAGGACTGAGAATATAACTATTGTAAAGACTGTGGTCTAAACACTGTCATTCATAGTTTCACCTTAGGTTTTGAACTTGGTTACTAAGGCATGGATCCACACCATTAAATTTTGGCTGTGACTCCAACTCTGACCCCTCTAGTTATCTGTATCAATTACTTTCTGAATCTGCGAATTCTAGCTGGCTATCTCACATCGAAGCCAAAATATACTCCTTGAATTTACCCTTAGAATCTCTATCCTTGCTTTCTGAGCCTGAGGCTTTTTAAAAAATAAAATCTAGTTTATTGGGCTCAGAGTTGCAAACTCTCTATAGAACAGAACCTGTTCTCCCCTAAATTTAGGGATTGTTCCAAATGCAAATCTTCCAGCTGTATATCTTTATCAACTTATTGCTCCAAATTTGCGCAGAGCCATCTCCTGGGCCAGATTTAATGTTCTTCCTTCTGCTCTTCTCTCTGGCAGATTCCAGGGGATCCCCTACTCCAGCAGGTGTTGTCCTTGTAAGAAGGACTGTGTCAAAACTGTCCCCCACGTTCTCCTTCAATGTCCCTTTTATCTGCTGCCCCGCCAGGATCTTCTGTATCCTATATTGGCTCAATTCTCAGAAATTCCTGACGATTTTAAGGTTCTGTTTTTGCTTGATAATCAAGATACAGAAATAACTGAAATAGTAGCAAGGTTTCTTCTTAGTGCTATGGCTATACGTTCTGATAAGTAACCATTAGGTTTTTCTGCTTTCATACTGTTTTTCTGCACCGCAGCTCCAATTTTACCCTATACAGATTTGTATTTTCTGATCTATATTTAATCTGATCTCCTTTTGTATGTATATACGTATGTCAATAAAGGCTTGTCAAAGTAAGTTACTCAGCCCATAAACAATTACACCAGAAAGAGCATTAATGAGATTCTGAAACAGTAACAATAAACCAAGCAACTCCCCAACAAAAGCTGTTGTAGATTTTCTGGGCTGTATGGCCGTGGTCTTGGCATTGTAGTACCTGATGTTTCACCAGCAACTGTGACTGGCATCCTCAGAGGTATAACACAGAAAGATGGAGTACTCTCTGTGTCAATGTGAGAAGAAGAAAAAAGGTAGGCAGGTTATTTATAGGATATATTTATCCTATGGGTCATATAAACGCCATATACAAAGATTTTCCACCACCTTTGAAATAGTAATTATATTTATTTGTTCATATAAGATATTAAATGCTGTATTTATGCTAAACTTTAGTACTGGACCAAAGCAGAACCTCATGGTGCAGTATGACATCACTATTGACGGTCACTACTCACTTCCATTGTGTCTTTTGAAAGGTAAACCACCCAGTATACTAGGTTGAATCCCGCAAATGCCACCGGGAAAAGGATCCTGGAGTACTGATCTATTTTACTTGTCCCTCCAATTGGTGGAAGTGGTGGTGGTAATGGTGGTGGTGAAGGAACAGATGATGGCTGACATTGAGATGCACTATTGGACAATATGCCTGCTTCAGGAGACTGCTCTGTTTGAGATATCATAGAGTTCATCCGCTTCTTCAGGTTGCAGTTGGCATCAGAATGCTGCAGGAAGAAAACATGGGTTATTGCACAATTAGCAGAAAACTGAGTTCTGAGTTTTCATTCACTGTACTTCTTCCCCTTTTGTTCTTTTTTCTTACTTATCCTTTTCCCCCTTAGTCATATCATAAAATTAACATGAAACAAGAAAGCTACATCGTTGATTAGCAAATTATATTTGGTGGAATGCTTTGACATAAAATGATATGCATAAGAATGCAGAATGACTCTTTGTTTATTAAATCAGACTGAAAAAAGGAAGTGAAATATGTGGGAGAAAAAGCAGCAAATTAGGTATTCCAGCTTCCTAAATGTTCTTCATTCTCCTAAAAAAAACTTGCTACTGTCAGGGACAGATTCTTACCTTGGATACTGCAGTCATTCAACAACTGAGCTTCATAAAATTCTGTCCATATGCTTCTCCTCTCCTGTACCTACTAGATCTACTAACAGTTTCTCCACTCTGGAGTTGAAGTATTCTTTGTTCTCAGTTTTGAAGTCTGCATAATATCTTATATTGTTTATTGTTTTAACATTAGGCAATTAATACCCCACTTTTCATCTTTTGTAAGCAGAATCCCAAAATATTATTAGTAAATGCATCAACAAATAAAAAACATAATGCACAATATAAAATAAATATCTGATAGGCAACAACCATAAAATATCAAATCAGCAGCAATAAGACTCAGTGTAAAAATAGTGGGTTGGATCCAACCAGCTTTTTCACTCAATCTTCACTATATTTCTCATGATCTCCAGCATAGGCTTTTGGGTGGTCAAAGAGGACTCCTTCCTCTCTTTTTTCACCAAAGAAAAGCTGGTTGGATCCAACCCGGTAGTTCACTCTGTATCAGTGGCTTTCTGAATTAAGTTAGATTCAAGTCCAGTAGCACTCTAGGGCTGCGGTCACACTGGAGGCTTGGCACAATCTGTTGGTGTCCCTATTTGAAACAGTTTACATTGTCATGGGATGACCAGACAACACACCCTGAAGTGGCCTCACTGAGCGCTCGCCCCATAGTTGACCATTCAGATTATTGCTGTGGGGCAACCACAGAGTGGGTAGTCAGGTGGCTTCTTTTTTCATTTGTCTTTTGCATATGCACATATCTGCTTATTTGAAGCACCACTCTGTTTTGACAGCTGGAGGAGGCTGCCTCCCCCTCTGAATAAACTCATCTTTTCAATTAACCCTTTCCCCACCCTGTGTGCTGTAAAGCTGTAAGCAGAACTGGCATGACAAAAAGACAAAGGAGGCTTCTCAGCCTGCACTTCCCTCCCCCCCCCACCTCAGAGGACGACTGTAAGCTTGCTGGTGTGCATGAAGATGCGGTTATGCGCACATTGCTAACTAAAAAAAACAAGGAGCAAAAACGGAACAAAGCGATCAGAGTTCCCAACTGGGTTGAACTCACACCAGGGGAGTTCAGATATCCAGAAATGCAGGGTGAAAGTGTTGATATCTGTGAACACCAGACTTTTCCCAGTACCTGATTACTCCAAAGCAGCACAGAATGGGATGGTGACTACTGGAGCATGGAAGGCAGATGTTGCTGTCTGATTGTGCTCTTTAAATCCACAAAGGTACAACAACAATATTGGCACAAAGTGTTCATGTGATCACGGCCTAAAGACAAACATGATTTTGGGGGTAAAAGATTTCAAGAGTTAAATACCCTGATGAAGGGAGCTTTAACTCTCGAAGGCTTATATTCCAAAAAATTTTTAGTCTCTAAGGTGCTACTGGACTCAAATCCAGCTGTTCTTCCACAGACTAACACTGAAGTTCTGTCAGAAGGCCAGGAGAAAGATGGCCAAACAATCTTCAGCTAGTAAAGCATTCTATAACTTTTGAGCCATAGGAAAGAAGTCCCTTGTTCTTACTTTAGATAGCATGGGTTCATATATCTGGGCACAAGGAGATCTCAAATCCAGGGCAGATCTGTAGAGGTGGAAGTGATCTCTCAGATACTTACCATTTCATAGAATCGTAGAATCACAGAACGTTAGAGTTGGAAGGGACCTTGTAGGTCATCTACTCCAAGCCCCTGCACTCTGCAGGAGCATAGTCGAAAGATAGCCCAACAACATACCCGAAAGATGGCCGTCCAGCCTCCGCTTGAAAACGTCCAGCGAAGGAGCATCCACCACCGCCCAAGGCAGTCTGTTCTACTGCTCAACTACTCTTACAGTTAGGAAGTTTCTCCTGATATTTAGCCCATATCAACTCCCTTGTAATTTCCACCCATTAGATCTAGTCTTGCAATCTGTACCAAGAGAGAATAGATCTGCTCCATCTTCTACATAACAGCCCTTCAAATATTTGAAGACTGCAATCATGTCCCCTCTAAGCCTTCTCTTTCCCAGGCTAAACATACCCAACTCTTTCAGCCTTTCCTCATAAGACTTGGATTCCAACCCTCTCACCATCCTCGTTGCCCTCTTCTGGACATGCTCGAGCTTGTCAACATCCTTCCTAAAATGTGGTGCCCAAAACTGGACACAGTACTCCAGGTGAGGCCTGACCA